CAGTTAGCTGCAACGGCCGGAGCTGTGCCAATCAGGAGCCAGGAGCTTCTTCCAGGTCTCCCATGTGAGCACAAAGGCCCAAGGACTTGGGCCATCTTCCACTGCTTTCCCAGGCCATAGCAGAGAGCTGGATTGGAAGTGGAGCAGCTGGGTCTTGAACCGGCACCCATATGGGATGTAGGCACTGCAGGCGGCAGCCCCACCCTCTATGCCACAGTACCAGCCCCTTGCTTTTCTCAGAAATTATGCCTCAGCGAAACTTCATGTGAGCCAGAACAGTTTGCTTGCTGTGGTTTGAATATGATTTGGTCCATAATCTCGTGCACACATTTATAAGGCACTTGCTGTGGGTTGTGATGTACTTGCTGTGGTGCAGATGTGCTTTGGCTTCTGGACTCCTGCAGGCATTGAAACCCCAAAGTTATAAACTGATGGTATTAAGAGAAAGAAATTTAATCTAGTCGTGGTGTTTAGAAGATGGACCTAGTGGAAGGTCCTTGGGTCTAAGGGAGCATGCCCTTGGAAATTAGTTCTGGCAAGAGGGTGGATTCTAAGAGTTGAGAGGGCCCTATCCATACTCTCTGCTTCCTGGCTCACCACAAAATCTTCGTTGCAGGTGTGCTCATCATTGCCATTCACTGCCCCCACAAGGTGCCAAGGGAATGGGACCACAAATCTTGGACTTGAACCCTCAAAACTGAGAGATAAATAAACCTTTTCCTTTTCATAAAGGTAGTTTTTGGGTGTTTAGTCCTAATAAGAAAGAGCAAACTAACTCAGTACTCTTGGAACTCGAAAGCCCTCTGTCCAACAACTCCTGTCTTAGATTTGCTCAAGGCTCAACTTTAAACCTCATGTCTTCTTTGAAGCTTTTTCTGATTCTGTATAACTAACAGTCTCATTTCTGGAACGGATTTACCACATGACCTTTGCCAATTCTCTAAACTTGTCTGGTCACAAGGTTTCACATTTGTGAAATAGAAAAATTGATCTAATAGAGACAGAGGTATTGGACGGCTGGGACCACACCTTTTAATCTTCCATATGTTACCGTATAGAGCCTTGTCTCAGGCTCTGCCCACACAGATGCTCAGGAAATGCTTGCTAACTGGAGATTTTTATGATCACTGATGGAAAGACAGCATAAATGCAAAACACGATTTTCCCCTTGCCCCGAGCTACCCAGGAGCATCATTCTCATTCAGAGATGACCACATTTCAGAAAGTAGGTCTCATAAAACATACAGTTTAATGAAGCCATCTGGGAAGACGATCGTCATATAAATGCAAGATATTGATATTATCTGGCTACTTGGGGAAATCCCGTGTAAATGGAGGTGCAACCCAGCTCCATAACTCAAATCTAGTATTGATGCATAAGGTCTTTGGATAATGAACTTCGCAGATGGATATTTCTCACAAATCTAAGCCTTCATTTTTCCCCTCCTTTGCAATTTTGCTGTTTCTGCAGTAAGATTTTTATTTTACTTTTTGGAAACGTCTTTTTTTTTGTTCAGCTGGAAACTGTCACCATCAACAGAAGTCTTGAAACAATTTTTGTATTTGTCTTTTTAGTTGTGCCTAGCTTCTCTTCTTTTGAAGCAAGCAATGATGTAAACAATGTAGGTCTTTCTTTCCTGCTCCAATAATTATGCGGAATGTTGTTCAGTTGTTCAACATCTCAAGTGATTCTGCTGCTTGCTTTTGAGGTCTACCAGCAAGATAGAGTCCTACTCCTGATATTACTCTGAATACTGTTCTGAGAGAAACTCCCTCTGATCTGTACTCCTTATTAATAATGTCCCCTCCTTTCTCTGAAAGGCAGTAGCTAAAACTGTGGCCAGGGAGTGCAGTGGAGGATGGCCCAGGTGCTTGGGCCCTGCACCCCATGGGAGACCAGGAAAAGCACCTGGCTCCTGGCTCCTGCCATCGGATCAGCGTGGTGCGCCGGCCGCGGCGGCCATTGGAGGGTGAACCAACGGCAAAGGAAAACCTTTCTCTCTGTCTCTCTCTCTCACTGTCCACTCTGCCTGTCAAAAAAAAAAAAAAAAGTTCCAAGTTGTCTCACCAGTGATCCTACAAGGATCACTGAGAGCAAAAGGGAGGAATAGAGAGGTGTTCCATCTGCTAGTTCACTCCCCAGGGGCCATAACGGCCAGGGCTGGGCCGGGCCGAAGTCAGGAGCTTCTTCCAAGTCTCCCACATGAGTTCAGGCGCCCAGGTACTTGGGCCATCCTCTGCTGCTTTTCCCAGACATGTTTGCAGGGGGCTGGATCAGAAGTGGAGCAGCTGGGGTTTGAACCAAAGCCCATATGGGATGCCGACACTGCAGGTGGTGGCTTAGCCTGTTATGCCACAACACTGGCCCCTGGCACTCTTCATCTTTTACTCAGTGTGGGAAAGGGATGCAGAATTTCCCATGCATTAACAGTTCATCTTACTACCTCTGCTGAAGAAATTTCCACTAGCAATGAAGCAGCAGTTGCCACCACTATGTAAATAAGAGTATTCTTCAGTCTCTTTAGGAAAGATGAGATGCAGTATTTTTGCCCCACTTCCTGAAACACTGAAGTCTTTTGCCCCTGACTATGGCTGCTTGACCCCTCACCACCTACTCACCAAATAATACATAAATGGCTGCATACTGCATAATAACACTTTGGTCAGTGATCAGCCACATATACAGCAGTGGTCTCAGAAGGTTATAATGGAGCTGAAAAATTCTTATTGCCCAGAGACATCATGGCCATTGTAATGTCTTGGCACAACACATTACTCAGGTGTGTATGGGAGGCTGGTGTAAACAAACCCACTAGGCTGCAGTCATATAAAATTAGAGCACATACAATTATGTATAATATGTAACACTTATTAAGGATAATAATGATGTTACTGGTTTGGGTATTTACTGTACTATTTTTAACATTATTTCAGAGTATACTCTTCTACCTATAAAAAAAAGTTTATGGTAAGATAGAGTGCCAGGTTATGCTGGCAGTGGCCTCCTCACGTATCTCGTGTTTACTGCATCTCCAGATTGCAGCTAGAAGCCACATCAAGTGATTGGCCCACACCTTCCAGGTTCGTATAACTACACATTGTGATGTTTGTACAAGGACAGAGTCACCTAATAACATTTCTCATAACATGTCCCGGTTGTTAAGTGACACATGACTGTACAGCCAGTCACAATACTCTTCCCAGAGGTTGGTGGAGCTCCTGGACCTGTGTGTAGCCAGCTTGTTGTTCCCAGAGGTGACACATAATGTTCATTTAGAGAGTATGTATGGCTGGGGGTAGAGGCATAGAAGCCACAGAAGTTTTTCCATCTGCTTTGCCTGGCTGATGACTGTGGTGGGTAGAATAGACACAGAGCTGGCAGTGTATCCTTGGCCTTAAGCCCTTTCAATATTCACCGAAGAAACTCTTTCTCCCATTGCTCATCATCTTGCATCCTTAAAGCATACCCTTAAAACAAGTGCACTGAGGGCTGAGACACTTGCAAGTCTTCTCTCAGTGGTGGAGAGGTGGCATTTGCACTTTTAGGAGCAGGGTAAGAAGAATCTTCCATTCCTCTTTCTTCTTGTGCTCTGTTAAGCACTTTCACTGCTCATCTCTGATAGGACAGCAGTATTCTGAGTTTCAGCCTAATGAAGCTGATGAGAGGTGTGGTATCTTTTTTTTTACTTTTATTTAGTAAATATAAATTTCCAAAGTACAGTTTATGGATTACAATGCCCCCCCCCATAATTTCCCTCCCACTCACACCCCTCCCATCTCCCTCTCCCATTCCATTCACATCAAGATTCACTTTTAATTCTCTTTATATACAGAAGATCAATTTAGTATGTATTAAGTAAAGATTTCATCAGTTTGCACCCACACAGAAACACAAAGTGTAAAATACTGTTTCAGTACTAGTTATAGCATCACTTCACATTGGACAACACATTAAGGACAGATCCCACAAGAGGTGTGGTATCTTAGAAGCCATATAAGGAAACACATTTAATCAAGGCTGTGGACCAGATTTGGTGCAAGGTCCCTAGTAGTGATGTCACCAAGAAGGTGGAGCAGGAGATACGAACCTCCATTATACAGACATACATACACACACACACACACACACACACACAGAGAGAGAGAGAGAGAGAGAGAGAGAGCTCTCCACAAGCCAAAGCCAAAATACCTGTAGGAAGATTCAAGCACCCATTTAAGAATCTGTAGAAAAAAAAAGAGAGAGAGACTATCTACATAGAATGATACTAGCTACTAGGCACAAGAAGGAAGGAAACTCAGTTTATGCATTCAAAGAGTTCTCAGCTCAGTAAGGATCTCAGACTACTAGATGGTATGTATATATATCTGTTAATATTCTCATCATTATTCTGAATTTTAAGTTTCTGAAGTTTATTTCATGTTGCAAGACACAAAGCTAAATTTCAAAGGTCGTAATAAACAGTAGTCTGAGCACCCTGCACAACATTTGCAACACTTGATTACCTTTGCTGGTTTTTGTACCTAACTTCTCATCTTGATTCTTAGCCTCTGGATGGTAGGGGATTGGTGATACTTTTCACTGATTTCTAAGTGTATAGTTAGGTCCTAAATTTTTACCAAGTGAATAGGTAAATATAAATAAATAGCATACAGAACATAAAAATTAGGATGTCCTGGAAGTATACAAGCCAAAAAAAAAATGCTATGAGACAATCACTTGAACCTCCTCAACATATGATTATGTTTAATTAGATTGTAACGTGTGACTTGTTTGTGACAAATCTCACAGAATTTCCCACTGAATTCTCCAGATACTTCAATGGAATCCGTGGTTGCTTCGCTCCTCTGCACAGCTCTTCCTCTGCTCTGCAGAGGAGGGGAGTTAGCCCTGGTTTGGGATGTTTATGTACTTGCTAATCACACATTTGTTTTCCCTCTAAGCTCAGTCCTGCCTGCCAAGAATAGTTCAAGATGACAATCATTTTCATGTTCTCAAACAGAGATTCTGGAAGGATATGGAAGAAGGAAACAAAACCAGAAGGTTAGCAGTGACAATAACAAGGAAAGAGAAGAAAATGGGTATAAATATCCTACTTCCCTCCTTTTATAGCCTGTAAGTATTCTGTTACTCCTGTTCACCTGCAATTGCTTGGCACATTAGGCGTGGGGTAGAATAGGAAGACTTCAGTAGCTACAACAAATTAGAAAGCTTAGCTATCCCCTTCACTTATGTTAATCTTTTCACTTGCTCTCTCAGTTCCCCCACCCTCTGCCTGGATATGGTTGTGGATGTGGATGTGTTTGTCTTTCATGTTAACTTGAAGCTACGACTAGTGACTGTTAGCAATATTATTTCAAAATTTGTTTCCATAAATCATTGTTTCCCAAACTGAGTTACATGAGATGTCCATAGATACTCCATGGAAAAAAGGTTTCTGTTCAAACATTAGGGAAATTTGTGGTTACACAAATTTAAAAAGGTTTCTTTGTAGTAGGTCTTTACATGTCCTTTAATTTGCCAATATGCCTTTTCTTTTTTTTTTTAACTTTTATTTAATGAATATAAATTTCCAAAGTACAGCTTATGGATCACAATGGCTCCCCCCCATAACTTCCCTCCCACCCGCAACCCTCCCCTTTCCCTCTCCCTCCCCCCTTCCATTCACATCAAGATTCATCTTCAATTCTCTTTATATACAGAAGATCAGTTTAGCATATATTAAGTAAAGATTTCAACAGTTTGCACCCACATCGAAACACAAAGTGAAAAATACTGTTTGAGTACTAGTTATAGCATTAAATCACAATGTACAGCACATTAAGGACAGAGATCCTACATGAGGAGTAAGTGCACAGTGACTCCTGTTGTTGACTTACCAAATTGACACTCTTGTTTATGGCATCAGTAATCACCCTTTTCAGTCTCCAAGATTGCACCACAGAATCCTTTCTCTGATTTTATCTGGACAGACTAGTACTCTGACTAACACACTTTAAGAAATGCCACCCTTTTATCTTAAACTGGGAGTTCCTATCATCAGAGACACAGCCATTCTGAACTATTGTTGTCCCTTGGATTGGTGTGCATCTCTTGACAATCTGACATCACAAGGAAACTCTCCCAAATACTCATATGACTCGAATTTCACTCTTTCATGACCTCTGGGTTGATATCTCTGTACCCTAGAGCCTGAGATGCCCATCCTGCAGAAAAAGACAAGCTAGAAGAACATCCTGGAAGAAAGATGCTGAACTGGACACCATGGTTTCAGAAATATACCCAAACAGCTCAGAACCCGACTTAAAATGTCGTCTCTCAGTAGTTGCTTGAGAGAAGAAGAAATGTCCTTCCCTCCAGGAGCTCTTTCATGGAGAGGCCTATTTCTTCTATTTTTCACCTGCATCCACCCCAGAGATAGCCTTCCTATTATAGGTAGGTTTGTTTTATTCTATGTTCCCACCAACAATGTCCTCTCTCCACCTAACTCCTACATAATCTCCAATCTCTTGCTTCCACATGGAGCCTTCCCTTCCCACTGAATTTTCTGAAGATCCATGATATTTAATCACTACACCAGGGGTCAACACGGTATGGTCCTCTGGCCAAATCCAGCCTTCCACCTATTTGTGAAAACACTGTATTATTGAAACATAGCCAGTCCCTTTGTTTATATATAGTCCAGGGGCTGTTTTCCCACTACATTGACAAAATTCAGTAGTGGAGACAGAGAACATATAACATGCAAGTCTAAAATATAGACTATCTGTTACTTACAAAGAAAATTTGCTGAACTCTTTTCTGTATCATTTCTTTCATACTTATCAGATGCAACTTTGCTTCTCACTGGTACATGTGCTGTAATTTTTCCATATATCTTCTTAATGAATTTTAAACCCATAAAGATCAGGGTCTATTATTTTGTACTTTTCTTAGTGCTCTGTAACATCTAGCACAGAAGAGATTATCAATAAACTGGTTAACTGATTTTTTAAATTATTTATTTGAAAGGCAGAGTTAAAGAGAGAGACCAAGAGAAAGAGATTTTTCATCTGCTGGTTCACTCCCCAAATGGTCACAATGGTCAAGGCAGGGCCAAACCAAAGCCAGGATCCAGGAACACCATCTGGTCTCTCACATGGCTGCCAGTGGTTCAAGCATCTGGGGCATCTTCTGCTACTTTCCTAGGCACATTAGCAGGGTGCTGGATCAGAAGTGGGCAGTTAGAACTTGAACCAGCACACTCATATGGGACAGCAGTGTTGCAGACAGTGGCTTAACCTCTGCATCACAATGGTGGCCCCTGATTTTTTTTAAACTGATTTTCTTGAAAGAGTACAATTTAGCAAAAATTCTCCATAAGATGTTCCAGGTGCCAAAAGAAGAAGGTAAAAGCCTTGTTATTTTCATGCCTTTCAGTTTAGCAGTTTGAGATGGGACGTAGTCATAGGTGGTTTTCTTGAGTAGCTTCAAAATTCCTCTGAAAGTAAAATGAACTTCAAAGGGGAACAGCCACATATTTCTCCATGGTGTCTTGGAAAATATCCATTATTATACAAATTATAAAACCTTAATACTTTTCCCCTATACAGGGTACCTCAGAAAGTTTGTGGAAAACAGAATTAAAAAGTAAGGCTATTCTGGTGCAAAAAATAATTAAATCCATGCTTATGAGGCTTCTTCAGAAAGTTCATTTAATATGTAAATTATGAAAAAAACTATGCATGGATTTCAAAAATGTTTGCACCAACTGTTGAAATCTTTACTTAGTAAAGAGTTGATCTTCTGTATATAAAGATAATTAAAAATGAATCTTAATGAAGAATGGGATGGAAGAGAGAGTAGGAGATAGGATGGTTTGCAGGTGGGAGGGTAGTTATGGGGGAGGGGGAGAAACCACTATAATCCAAAAGCTGTACTGTTGTACTTTCGAAATTTATATTTCTTAAATAAAAGTTTTCTATAAAAAATAAAAAACAAAAATGTTTGCACCAAAATAAACTTATCTTTCCATTTCACTTTTTTCACAAACTTCCTGAAATACCCTGTACTAGACACTGATTCTAACTGCCCAAAGTGGCTGCTATCCCCATCCCAACCTTCCCCCATTCCCCTACACACAGTAGGGGAACTACTGAAGGTTTCTGTGTATACTAGCAGACAGAATGGGGACTGGGAAAATGGACTGATGGAAGTTCTTCAGTGGCCATCATGCCAATCTCCCTGATGGTCTCTTGGAACCCCAGTCCAGTTCTGCAGCTGGGTGGAAGGAGTAGCCTTGCGGAGACCTGTTGTCCCAGGCTGGACTGCCCTGCAGCAGCCTGTGATTTTGAGAATTTTATTTATTTTTATTTTTATTTTTATTTATTTATTTGAAAGGCAGAGTTACAGAGAGGGAGAGGCAGAGGCAGATAGAGAGGTCTTCTATTCACTGGTTCACTCCCCACTCTGCAATGGCCAGAGCTGCACCAATCCAAAGCCAGGAGCCAGGAGCATCTTCTGGACCTCCCACGCAGGTGCAGGGGCCCAAGGATTTGGGCCATCTTCTACTGCTTTCCTAGGCCATAGCAGGGAGCTGGATCAGAAGAGGAGCAGTCAGGTCTCAAACCTTTGCCCATATGGGATACCGGCACTGCAGGCGGCAGCTTTACCCACTGTGCCACAGAGCCGGCCCCAAGGCCTGTCGTTTTGATACTGGAAGCTGCTTACATAAGTAAGTCTCCAATGCATCAGACTGGAAGGGACAAGAAGCTCTTTGCAAGGTGACAGTATCTGTTCTGAAGACCTCTCCCGTGAATATTTGTCAGGGCAAATGAAAATCCTAAGCTGAAAGAAACCTCTTTTCCAAAAGCTAGCAGGAAAGCCTCCTCTTTATTAAGCAGCTTCATATACTCATGTGGGGTTAAGTCAGTCACTCAAAATAATTATTTAGTTTGTTCAATGCCAAGGAACAGGTCCTAATGTTGTGTGTGTGGTTGCTTTGTGCATGTCTGCATTTTTATGGCTCCAAGGGGTTGGATATCTGGGCTGAATCACTGGTTTGTGGATCCATCTACCATTTGTCCTACCCACAAACACAATTGCTTCAATGAAGTAAAGAATATTCTCAGAGCTCTCCTGCAGCAGGCCCTGGCTCTACAGCTCCTGACAGCTGACTCATCCTCACTTCCAAATAAATGTGAGCCTCAAATTGGAGTTAGATGTGATGTGACCCTCCCCTGGCCTGACCTTGGTTGGTGGCCTGAGCTGGAAGAGTCCAGTTTTTTTTTCCTACTGTGAAATAGCAGAAGTAGCTATGTCCAAAATCTATAAAAGTAGCCTTTTATAATTCTTGCAATTTTTTGTAGTTATAATTTTTAGTGTCTATGGTTGAGAGAGGATAAGACTTATTCATAGACTTTACACTCTAGTGGTTTGATAAATACATAACATGCTGAAAAGGAGTTTTATGGAAAAGTAAACGTTATTCATCAGGGCTTTAGTTTCTCTTGTGTTTGCTTTCAGTTGAGCAATACTGTGAGTTGTTTGTTTGATTTTTATTTATTTTTCACTTACTGGGCTTTCTTTCTAGATCCTTGACCTAATCTAATCCAAATAAGCATAGCACTTAAGCAAGTCTAAATATGGCATATGTGGCAATGTGTATATCTTTTTTTTTTTTTTGGTATTATCTTTTGTTCACATATAGGGATGCTAGGGAAGGCAAAATGTGGCAAGGTGCTATTTTATAGCATGTTTAATGCTTATCAGTAATTTTTTCCCTCTGACCCTCTGCCTCAGACAATTAATTTTCTTGAACTGTTCACGTAATGGAAGAACACGAAGTGGAGAATAATGTTAGTACTGGCGAATATAATCTTGGAAGAAAAGCTGTGCAATTATTCAAAGACCTAATCTTATCTCTTGTTTCATTTTTATATCACAAGTCTACATTGAAAAGTATTAGATAGACTGTGCTGCTGTCCCACACCTTCAAACCACAGTAAATAAATGCCGCCAAGTGCCACCAGGAGTGAAAGAGCTTGTAATGAGAAGTGTGAGGAGACGTGTGCTCCATTCATCATTCTGTTCAGTCCAATATTGAGGCTCTTGTTATCAGCAGGATTCGTGGCGAT